ATTTTGAATCTCTGCAGATGGATTGCTCAGGTTTTAGGATAGGTTGTGTGTTCCTAGTGATAGTGAGTTTAAAAGAGATATCATGATAGAGGCTCACAGTTCGAAATTTATCATGCATTCGGAAAGTACTAAGACGTACCAAAGTATGCGGTCCCGATTCTAGTCGAGTAAGATGAAAAAGAAAATTACTGATTTCGTCTCAAATGTTTTTCATGCCAATAGGTCAAAGTAGAGTATCAACGCCCAGAAAAACTATTTCAGCTGCTGCCAATTCTGGAATGAAAATGAGAACATATCACCATGGACTTTTTAACAAGATTGCTTAAGGCACATTCGGGACACGATGCGATTTAGGTAATTTTTGATCGATTCACTAAGTCCTCTCATTTCCTAGCTACCAGAATAACGAATCCATTGGACAAGCTAGCTAGAATTTATATTCAGGAAATAGTCAGACTACATAGAGTTCTGATGACAATGGTATCAGACAAGGACCTCAGATTCACCTCTAAGTTTGGGACAAGTATTCAACAAGTAATAGGAACGAAATTGTCTCTCAGTACAATATTTCACCCCCAGACCGATGGATAATCAGGAAGAACTATCCGCACATTGGAGGATAGGCTCAGGGCTTGTGTTCTAGATTTTGAAGGGCACTGAGATAACCACTTACTCCTAGTAAAAATCACATACAATAACAGTTATCAGACAAGTATTTATATGACTCCGTATGAGATATTATATGACTGACCTTGTAGGTCACTGATCTGTTAGAAACAAGTGGATAACAGGAAATTGATTGACCCAAATCTTGTAGATGAAACCACATTGAAGATTGCCAAAATCATAAAAAATATTCAAACGGCCCAGAGTAGACAGAAGAGTTATGCGGACACGTGAAAAAGAGATTTAGAATTTGAGAAAGATGATTAAGTGTTCCTTAATGTCACGTTTGGAAATAGGAGAAAGTTGAATCTCCAGTTCATTGGACCATTTGAAATTTTGAACATAATTGGGATATCTGCTTACATACTAACACTGCATTTAGAACTATCCAAAGTGCATAATGTCTTCCATGTGTTAATGCCACACAAATATATCTTTGACCCCTCACACGTTTTGTTTTACAAGTCACTTCCACTTCATAAAGATTTATTTTATGAGGAGGTACTGATTAACATTTTGGATTGAAAGAACAGAATACTTCACAACAGAATTTTTTTTTTCAAAGTTCTATGGCAAAATCACTCACAGGATGAGGCCACCTGGGAGTTGGAATAAGACTTCAGGGCTAAATATCATCAACTGTTTGACTAGGGGACAACAATTTGATGGACTGAGTTTTCTTAAGAAGGGGAGAGTTGTAACATCTCGAGCCCAAATTTAGACTTGAAATGATATAATTTAATTTTTAAAATAATAAAAAAAGTGTAGGGTTAATTTTAATTATTTTTGAGATATATGAATTTTAGATGAAATTAAAAATAATTTTAGAATGCAAGACAAAACTGTAAATAAAGGGGGATGTATTTGAAAGAAAAGTTTGAAAATAATGGTCAAATCACAAAAAGAAAAAGTGTAGGCCATGTAGGACAACCACGTCAGCAGCACGACGAATCAGAACACGCCGCGTGGCAGACACGCTGGCATAGGCTCCACGTGAGAGCCACGCAGGCGATCCACGTGCTAGGGCAATCCAACGACCCATGTTCACTCATGCGCGCATGAATGGTTCGGATTGATTTTTTAGATAAGCGCGATCGAATGGCACACAAATCTTCAATCGAATGACCTGGATCTGTTTTCTTTATAAGCATGATCAGACGGCTGAGGAGGATCCACGTAGGCCCGGATGGACGACCCAAATCGAGGGAGGGGGGTATTTAAGTGTCTTTTCCAACCGGAACCCTAACCTTACCCGACATCCACTCACTGGAGAAGAAGAAGAAGGGCAGCCAGAGGAGAAGCCCACCCATCGGCGTCGCCGCACTAGAGACCTAAACCGCACTGGTGAGTGCAATTTTTCTTCTCATTCTTCTCGTTTCTTTGCCCTTTAGTCGTCTAACACATTTTCAATACAGAATAATCGAAAACAATTGTGACCCACGAGGAAGAATGACAGAGTTCAGCTGAGTCACCACACCAGAAGGTCGAAATCGCCCGTAAGCTTCAGTTTTTCTCATCTTTTCCCTGATAAACACCTTCTAACCATAATTTAAACAGATTTTCACTGAGAACCAACCAAACATGGCCTGATCGAGAGGAGGAGCCATCGAAGAATAAGGATCAGGCGTGGAGCACAACAACGTCACCACGTTGAAACCCCAACCCGAACCCACAGTGAGATTTGTGTCTTTTTTTTAGCCATTTCATGCTATTTTGACGTACGTTTCGATGTTAACAGAAAAATTTAAGAAATCTAAGAATTGGAAACTGTCAAAAATCGTAGTAAAAAAAGCGGTGTTCTAGACGTCGACCCAGGGTAAAAATACCTCACTTCTTTTTTCTGTTACGGTTAAATTGAAGCTAAACTGGTAATGAATGAATAATTTAGTTAATTTGTGGTCCTTTAATTGATTAAGTATAGGTTGCTATTGGAGCAAGTAACGGGTCAGTTTATGTTTGTTTTGAGTTTTAATTACAGTAGTTATTTCTTTAGCCATTTATTATACCTATCTATTCACTGTACTGCTTACACTAATTTATTCGTTTTAATTCTACGACTAATGTGATAAAGTTTTTTAATCTATGTTGTCCTATTATTTTACTATATGTATAATACGTTTTTGTCGGTATAATGCATGCTTATTTTACGTACGTACCCTAAAATATGAATTTTATACTCATGTCTTGTTTAGGATACAGATATACGTGTCTTTTAAGGGTAAATAGTAAATAAAAGAAAAAATATTCCTAGATTAACAGTGTTGAATGAAAGGGGCTTATCGGGTATATTTAAAAAGAGTGTACGGACTTAGTGCATAGAGTGAACCCTACCGTAGACGTTACCTTCAGTCGTATGGGGCTGAGAAGTCCCATACTAGAAGGGGTTGAGAGTTATTTTAATTACACTTATACCGGACAACGTATTGAGGTAGTTGTGTATTTTGATGCCCATTATCAGACAAGGTATATGAATGACCATTTGATTATAGAATGAATGTTCATGTCCACGTATAGTGGGGATCCCTATGGACCCCCAGCGACACTGGTAGAAAAGGTAAAATGATAGAGGTAAATATAGTAAGAAATCTAGTTTTGAAAAATAGTAAGGTTAATCGTTATATATTTTTTTAAAATGCATATTGTAGATTGTTATTCTGATTCTTATCTTAATAAATGACATTTAAGAATTTACAGGTGAGTTGAGAAAATATTAACGTTTTCAGTGAAACGAATAATAAATACACTAGCATTCGAGTTTTATTAAAGATGATCTCTATTGGTTGTTTTATGTTTTCTACAACCTTTTGATTTTTCCGTATCAGTTGTAAGATGTTGATATTTTTACTGAGCTAATATATTTAACTCATTTATTTTTAACCATTTCAGATCAGGACGATCAAGATTCAGATTTTGAACAACAAGAAACTAGTTAAGAGATTGCATATTTTATTTTGTCAATTTCGAGTAGAGGTTAATAATATTTATTTTCTCATATACTTTTTTCATTAAAGTTTCAAGGGCATTCCTGTAATTCCATTGAAGATTTTAAATAAATTATGTAAGGAATATAACCCTAAACTCTAATTGCTTATGCTAAATTATAAATTTTAGTATTATTTATTTTATTATTTCTAAATTACAAGCTGGAAATCCATAATATGGGATATGAACCTTTACAGATCATAAGCTCTAAAAACATTATATGCAATTCATTAATTAGGACTCCATTTTTAAGTACAGTAGCCATTTAGTAATATATTATTCATATTTCAATCTAAATTTTATGATTTATAATTTTCTAAATACCATAGGTTTATGTTTATATGTACAATAAATTTAAATATAGAAATGAATATCTGCAACTAAATTTAAAAAATATATTTTAATTCAACGGTACACTGAATGGGGAGTAATTTGAAAAGCACGACAAAAGTGCAGAGGTGTGTATATATATATATATATATATATATCTATACATATATTTATAAATGTAAACCAAGGGATGAGGTGTCAAGATTAGCTCGCTAGTTAATTTTTCCACATTTACTGTTTGGAAATGTGAAGAATCTTCTTCATTATCAACAGTAGGAGACTAGATAAAATGATTGTTGTCTTGTCGGGCACCAGTCTGTGTCCGCACATGATGCAGCAATATTCACCAGCTGTGCTTATATACGTTGATTAATTATCATATGGGTAATTAAGCAAATTAAGGACTAAACTTATATCATAACAAGGTCCTGCTTTGGTTTCTGTTTATATATATACATATATATCGATCGAAATGATTTCCAGCAAGTTCCAAACCTCGCTTTTCATCGGAGTTATTAATTATTAATCTTGAACTTTTTAAAAAGCTGTGTAATTTTTTTGTTATTTTAATCAAATAATTTAATTTGAGGTGAACTATTATCACAGTCATTGAAATTATTTATCAAGTTATAATCAAATTAATTTTAGTTTTAGATTATTAGAGATAAAATGCTATAACAACTAATTAATTTTAATAAACTTAATAAAATAATAAAAATTTAGAGAAGAAAAAGATAAACATGATAACAAAAAATTTTAAAATTGTTCCCGTTTTATTTTAAACAGAAGAATGATGTAATTTTTACGTCATTCATCAAAAATAAAGTTTTAAATAACTTTGTAAAATGAAAAAAGTAATTAAAAAAAAAATATACAATTAAATTCACAATTTAAACTCCCTTCGCATAAATTCACAATTTTGGGCTTACCGCAAATTTGGGCTTAGACATAGTTGAGCCTGAAAACTGTCAATCCAAACTTTGCTGGAAACCCACGAAATTTACAATCCACCCCACCATCTCGTTTCCTCCTGTTCAGATATTTTCGTAAAGCCAGAACAAGAAGACAAACACATGGATAAGCAGCAACGCCGGCACGTTCCTTCTTCATTTGCCACTCTTCCATGGGTAAGCTTTCTGGCTGTTTCTGCTGTTCATAACAACCATTAAATCATCTGTTCCCATTATTATGACGCAAAAGCCATACACCCCTCTTTTCAAAATCCTTCACTAGAATTTCCAGGTTATTGTTTATTTGAGATATTCTTTTCTAGAATCCGTGGTTCTTTGAGTAGTGGTATTTTCCTGCTATTTGTATATACAGGCTGCTGAGGGTATGGACTTGATAGTACCTAGTAATCCCGCCCAAGAAGGGTTTTGCTCATTTCAAAACTTTCATAGGGAAACGACAAAAAGTAGTAGTTTCATTGGAGCTAGGGTTAGAAATAGAGCTGGTAAACACAATGGTTCAGTGAAAGTTTTTTTGGGTAGAAAAGCTCGCTTTGTTGTTCTATCTGCTGATGGCATGGAGGGTAAAAGGCCTGAGCGATTCAGAAAGCAAAGGCTTAGTCAGGTTTTTGCTGTTGCAAAAGTTGAGACCTTTGGTTTAAATGGTAAGATTCAAATTCTTGAGAAATACCCATCTGGGCATATGTCTTCTGGTTCGGCAAATTCTTCCCATAGTTCTGAGGAATTCAAGAGTAATATTCGTCTACGAAGACTAGTAGAAATGGAGAATTAGAGGCAGGATTTAAGTTTCTGAGAGCATGGTTTATCAGGGTGATATTCCTGATATTATTGCATGCACGAGTTTAATTCGTGGGTTTTGCAAGATTGGTAAAACTAAGAAAGCAAACCAGGATAATGGAGATTTTAGAAGGGTCTGGGGCGGTTCCTGATGTTATAACTTATAATGTTTTAATAAGTGGATATTGCAAGGCAGGAGAAATTGATAATGCCTTACTGGTTTTGGATCGAATGTGTGTTTCTCCAGATGTTGTCACCTATAACACAATTCTGCGTTCTTTGTGTGATAGTGGGAAACTTCAGCAAGCAATGAAAGTTCTTGACAGGCAGTTGCAGAGGGAATGTTATCCAGATGTAATTACTTATACCATATTGATTGAAGCAACTTGCAAAGAAAGCGGGGTTGGCCAGGCTATGAAGCTCCTGGATGAAATGAGGAGTAGGGGATGTAAGCCTGATGTGGTTACTTATAATGTTCTTGTGAATGGTATTTGTAAGGAAGGGAGGTTGGATGAAGCGATCAAATTTTTGAATAACATGCCATCATATGGATGCCAACCCAATGTTATTACCCATAACATTATTTTGCGTAGCATGTGCAGTACTGGGAGATGGATGGATGCTGAGAGACTATTAGCAGATATGCTTCGAAAAGGATGTTCGCCTAGTGTTGTTACCTTCAATATCTTGATTAATTTCTTGTGCCGAAAGGGTTTGTTGGGTCGAGCAATTGACATACTGGAAAAGATGTCTCAACATGGATGTACTCCAAATTCCTTAAGTTACAATCCCCTGCTTCATGGGTTTTGCAAAGAAAAAAAGATGGATAGGGCAATAGAATATTTGGAATTAATGGTGTCTAGGGGGTGTTATCCTGATATTGTGACCTACAACACTTTGCTTACAGCTTTATGCAAAGATGGGAAAGTTGATGTTGCAGTCGAGATTCTTAATCAGCTAAATACCAAAGGCTGTTCTCCTGTTTTGATCACATACAACACGGTGATTGATGGCCTTTCAAAGGTGGGAAAAACAGAACAAGCAGTAGAGCTTTTAGAAGAGATGCGTAGAAAGGGTCTAAAACCTGATATAATTACATATTCTTCACTCGTTGGAGGACTTAGTAGGGAAGGGAAGGTCGATGAAGCAATCAAGTTTTTTCACGAACTTGAACGCATGGGTGTCAGGCCTAACTCTATCACCTACAACTCTATAATGTTGGGACTTTGTAAGGCTCGGCAGACTGATCATGCAATTGACTTCTTGGCTTATATGGTGCAGAGAGGATGTAAACCCACTGAAACTACATACACCATTCTCATTGAAGGTATAGCTTATGAAGGTTTGGCAAATGAGGCCCTAGAGTTGTTGAATGAGTTATGTACCAGAGGATTTGTGAAGAAAAGTTCAGCAGAACAGGTGGCTGTTAAGATGTAGTATATTTTTTCATGCCATCTTTTATCCTAAGATGGCCTCTTGTATTCTTGTGGCTTAACTCCTTGGAAATATATTATTAACTCCATTATGGAGGGAAATGGTTTTAAAGGAGCTTATAGTCAACACAGTTTCTTGTTTCTAGAAGCAATATAAGAATTCAATTTTGGTAGGGGTAGATTCTGCACTTTCTGTCTGTGAGTTATCCTTTATATGTCTCATTATGAATATACATTCGGCCATGAGTCATCTCTCCCTTCTTTAAGGTACAATTCTTTCTTTAAACTTCCCCTTTTCCATTATCTTGTTCTTATTTTATATGAACCTCAAAAAATGATATTTTCTGAAACAAATTATTCCTTTTAACGACATTATATCGACTAAAATTGGTGTTTGGAATTGTTAATGAATTTGACTTGATTAGAGATAGGTGGTTCCAGAATGTTGAATTTTTGTTATTCCACCATTCTCGATTTTATGACGGATTTAAGAGATCTCATTGATATTTTATTAGAGTTGTAAATATTCTATATACAGTTGATCCCCCACTGGTACTTATTAATAAGATACTTGCACTTCATATTTTAAAAAGAATGGTGTTTGGAATTATTGAAATAAAGCTGCAAAGAATATTTAAGGTGCTTTTTAAATACTTATTTTTTCTGCAAAAAATAAATATTTATTGTATTTGTTTTACAAAGTATCTATTCTAAGTCAATATAAAAAAAAAAAAAAAAATTTTATTTTTTTCTAAATAAAACTACTAATTATCATAATATGTAAATAAAATACTTAAAACTATTTATAAAGATTATGAATTTCAAACACCTCATTAGCATATATTCTGGTTTTTGTAGAATAACTGAAGAAAGACAATCATCAAAGATGGGCTAATATTTTAAGTAGGAGGATGCTTAACAACTAAGAGAATTAGTTTAAATAATTTTACTTTAGGGCTGTACTTGTAATTGTCAAAGAGGAAGAAAAACTGTATGATTAAAAAAGAAGTAAATCAAGTTATTAAAATAAGAAGAAAATTATGATATTAAAAGAAATTAAATTAAGATGTTAGGAAGAAAATAAATTAAAATGTTGAAGAGGAAACAAATTAAGTTAAAAGAGAAAATTATATAATTTGTAATTAATTATATAACTAATTATCTGTTTCTTTTTCTATTATGGGAACAAGCCTGTATATATAAAATTGTTATATTTAATGACAGACAAATCAATCAAAAAATAATTCTTAACAATAACAAAATACAAATTTATATAGAATTTATTTAAAAACTAAATTTATTTTAATTAGAGATAATAAGAATTTTATATAAAATGGTAAAAATTAAGTTTATAATATGAAATTGAAATATTAAGTTTAACAAATTTTAAGAAAATTTTAAAATCTATTTTTCTAACTCCACATGAAATTCTATATATGTTTAACTATTACGTCACTTT